AATGAGCTGAACCAAGTCACTGGCCTCGCGTCTTTTGTCCGTATCGGTGATACGACACAGATATTATAAAGATCCACCCACTCATTCAGCCATTTGGTCAGCTGGTGGTTCTGCTTCATCAATAAATGGACCCCCTTTCCAATCAGCCTGCATGTTATTTCCAGCATCTTTTTTACCAGCTTGGAATTGATCCAGAAAGATTTTTCCTCCAACCCTTCCTTCCTTCCTTCCTTCCTTCCTCAGAAAAACCTTCACCTGGTGCCAAAATAATGCCACTGTGGGTGCCAATTGAGGGACTCTGGGGAGGGCATTGTATAAAAGAGGGGCCACCACCCAAAAGGCAACATAAAGTGGGGGGCTTGGGACTATCTATGACCCCTCAGACCCTGTTCTGATTAAAGAAGCCCCTCAAAAACCCCTTGAAGAAAGGGTGAAGGTGTATGAGATGTTCTCCACCCACCAGATTTCCCTTCTCCCCTCGGTCCTAAGTTGGCCTGAGACTATGAAGGACTCTTTCTAGCCATCTTTTGCCTTCAGGCACCTCGAACTGGAAGATTTCTATTCACCAAATGATCTTATTGCACATTTTGTATGTTCCATATTTTACATCTACAAGAGAGCCTTCTGCGTCTCGATTGTACGGACTGACCCGGGCTGCCTCTTCCCCATGACTTTTGGCCAGTTTGAGAGCTTTTCCTGATCCATTTCCTGATTGGCTGGCTGGGAAGGGGGCTGTCGAGGCAGTTCTTCCTCTGCCGGATATTCCTATTAAAAGTGACCGAAAAGAGTTTAATTTTTGCCCCTTGTTCCCCTTAATCTCTGAGACACCCCATCCGTTGCAGTGTAAGAATTGGGCTTTTATCAAGGGCTTCTTACTGTCTCTCTCATTCCAAGTTTGCTCTCTCTGGTCCCATAACATGTTTCCTTCTTCCTAGTTATTTAAAAGAATTTCCCCCTTTAATAAGCTGGTTGGATCAAGAATAATTGATCGGGAATCCGTCCCATGGATGTTTCTTTCTTCCCCGGATTTTTCAAACTTTTCCTTTAACGGGGAGGGGAGGGGAACGGTGGCCCTTTTATAATTTGCAGAGTTCAACTTCCAATATTTCTGAGTCCCCTGGTTCACGAAATCTGGGAGTTGAAGACAATCAATCAATCAGTCTAGAGCTGGAGGGGGCCTTGGAGGTCTTCTAGTCTAGCCCCCTGCTCAAACGGAAGACCCCACTTGAAATCCACAAGTCATATAAAGGGGCCACACTTCCCCACCTCTCCTTTTGCAGAATGTTTGGGTCAATAATTGATGGGGTGGGGCATCTCTCCAGTTTTTAAAAAGTTTTTTTTCTCTTTAACAGGATGCTGGGGTCAATTGTAATAGATCAGGATTCGTCTGAAGGATTTGCTTCTCTCCAGTTTTTAAAACAATTTTCCCTTTAACGAGCTGGTTGGGCCAATAATAATGGATCGGGGTCCGTCCCGCGAATTTTTCCTCCTCTCCTATTGGTTCTTTTTTTTAAAATACTGCAGTTCTTCTTTAAGAAGCCAGCGAAGACGACCGCAAGAGCAACAACCATTGACTTCGGTTTCCCGCCTGGGCGGAGTCCAAAGGGCGTCACCTGATTCGGAGGAAAAGAAACGAAACTAAACTTTCTCTTCCCTTTTGGAGGCGGCGATGGCGTCCGGAGCGTCTTGGGAGGGTTTGCTGGAAGAAGCCACCTGCTCCATTTGCCTGGACTATTTCCAGGACCCCGTGCTCATCCCGGAGTGCGGCCACAACTTCTGCCGGGGCTGCCTGACTCGCAGTTCGGAGGCTTCTTGTCCCGAGTGCAGACAGACCTTCGCGCCCCGCAGCGTCCTCCCCAACCGGCAGCTGGCGCGCATGGTGGAAGGAACCAGGCGATGCGGAGGCCCTTGGGGCGAGGAAGGGGGGAGCTTCTGCCCGAAGCACCGGGAGCCCCTCAAGCTCTTTTGTAAGCACCACGAGACCCACATCTGCTTGGTCTGCGACCGATCCAAAGAGCACGAGGGCCACTCGGTGATCCCTGCGGAGGAGGCTTTCCAGGAATATCAGGTAGGAATCAGCCAGGAGGAATCGTTGCGGAGGGGCATCCAGATCCTCGGCTTTCCTGGCAATCCTTAGATCACTTTACTTTCTTCCTGTGTTGTCCGCAAAATGGGTTTAGCCTTGAGCAGATCCTAATCAGAACCAGACAAGAGGTTCAAAGAACTTTAATTGAACTACTTCAACAAAAGGATCTCAGCAGCTAAAAAAAGCAGAGACCCCTAACCATATACAAATACAAATTTTACACATTTAAGATGAAGGAAGTTAACAAGGAAAAAGTCACTCATTGGTTCCCTGACACGAGTTTCTTTTCTCCTTCTCCTCCTTCATAAATTGCATATTTTATACTAATAAGCTTTCTTATCAAAAAGGGTGTGTATTTTATTATTATAGTAAGTTACCAAAGTGTATGTCTATGTGCCTTAGCTAGCATCCTTCTAACTGGAGTCCTTCTAACTACCTTGTTATTTTCTTGTTGCTAGGCAGCAGTGTCCCCCCATTCGTTCCTGCTCTTATTAGACTCCTCTGCAGCTTTCTGCCTGGGCCATTCCTTTAACAAACTTCCCTGATTCCAGCCTGAGAGCTTCGCCTCCTGTTTCATCCTCTCATACTCCTATTTGTTGAAGACAGATTTACCATATTCCTTAATTTAGAACCATTCAATTTCTGACTGTTCAAAGTTGCAACACCATTGAAAAAAGTGACTTACAACTGTTTTCACACTTATGACCATTGTAGCCTCTCTGTGGTCACTGATCCAAATTGGGGTGATTGGCGAATGGCAAGTATTAATGATGGTTGCAGTGTCTGTCTTGCTTAGCCAAGGAAATTGCCTGTAGGGAGAAATAGGCTCCCTTTCTACCAGCTCCCTTTCCACATTTGCTGTTGAGCCAAATTGTCACGGAGTCCTCCAAAATCTTGAGTGCAGACCCTGAAAAACACTCCTGCTGGGTCAGCCCAAACTTTCATTTCTCAGTGATGCTTCTGGGATGACTGCAAACAGGAGACTCAGGCAGCTCCATTTAATGTCATTGCAGGTAGTCCTACCATGGATTTATGAGGATAGCATCTATCATCTAACTGAGTCTTCCCTCCAATGTAATTCTTTTTTTTATATAAATATAGTTTATTAATTTTTACAATTAAAACCAATCAAAATACATACACAAATAAGCAAAAGAAAAAAAAGAAGAAAGGAGAGGAAGAGAGGGAAAGAATTTTGAGAAAAGAAAGAAAAAGAAAGGGGGAAGAAAGAAAGAAAGAGGTTACAAAGTAAAAAGTATTCTTATTTTAACAGTTTGCAAGATCTTCTTTCGTTTTCATAACCTTAATTTGTGTCATATAACCACACCTGTTTTTAACTTATATCACTACCTTGTTATTATAGGTTGATACTTTTCTTTCATGCCTTATGATATATAATTTATCTTTGATCAATCCAATTATACCAACAATTCCAGCTATCCTAGTATAGTGAAGTGTCTTTGTTTTTTAACGCCAAAGTCAATTTATCCATTTCTGCACAGTTTGAGATTTTTTCAATAATCATTTCTTCTGATGGAATTTCATGTTGTTTCCACTGTTGAGCGAAGGCTAATCTGGCTGCTGTTAAAATGTGTATTGTTATGTATTTGGCTTTTTTGGAGATTTGCTTATCAAAAATCCCTAGTAGGAAGGACTCCGATTTGTATTCGATCTGCTCTTTAGTGATTTCTTCCAACCAAGTTTTAATTTTCTTCCAATACTTTTGGGTTTCTGCACAAGACCACCACATATGGAAAAAGGTTCGTTCTTTTTTCCTACATTTCCAGCAATGCGGACTCATGTTGGGGTGCATCTTCGCTAATCTTGAAGGGGGGAGATGCCATCTATAAAACATTTTATAAAGATTTTCCTTGTCTGTTGCCGATTTGGTAATCTTATTGTTTCTACCCCAAACTTTCTCCCATTCCACTAATGTGATGCTGCGCCCTATGTTCTTACTCCAAGCAATCATATTTCCTTTTACAATTTCTTCTTCTAGTTCTGTTTCTAATAAGTAGTTATAAAATTTTGTTATGTATTTTTTTATTGGATCCTAATAAAATTTTATCTAATTGTTGCAGTTTGTTCCAAATTCTTTTTTGTCTTGTTTGTATCTGCTTTGAATCTGGAGGTAAACCCATTGATCAATTTTATGTCCTTGCTCCTGAAGATCCGGCCTCAGTTTCAAATTTCCTTGTGGGTCTAATAAGTCTTTGTATTTAATCTTTTTGGTAAGCTCCAAATTGGGTGAATCATTGCCTCCATTGTTGAAATCCATACTGGTACTTTTGTATAAAGTACAAAAGTATGTCATGTGTGATCACATGATCAAAATTCGGACGCTTGGCAACTGCCATGTATTTATGAGAATTCCATCTATAATGTAAATGGGTCTTCCCTCCAAGGTAATTCTTTACGGAACTCAAAAGTTGTATTTTCTCTTCAGATCAAGGTGGAGGATTGCCTGAAGGCTCAGAAGGAGCAGAAAGAAAAAATAGCAACTTCCAAAAG